CCTAAAGAAAGAAACCCCAAAAAATAGAAAAAAATCAAACAAACCAAACAATAAAGTTCAATTAAACGACGAGTCGACGACTCGCGTCTCCGCCGAGCCACCGCCGCGGCATAACTTGCTCCCCCCTTTTTTCCTGGTTTCTCTTAAATATTGATTTCCGTTTAATCATAATTCAGGTTCTTTCTAATCACTTGCGATCCGATCCGAATGTTCGATTCCAAAGCATGTCTTCTACTCCTGTTCTTTCTTACCAATTCATTCCTCTTCTTTTGCAATGCGGATTCGGGTCGGAAATGCTCCCATACGAGCGCCCTAGTCGGGTTCGAATCGAATTTCACGATGGTCCAGCACCAACTGCGAGGCCATCTCAAGATCCTCGACGATTGCTCTTTCAAAGTCACCAGGTTTGACATGTTAGCCGGTTCATCCGACGTCGTTTTCTGGGGCGCCGTCTCCGTCGATTTCTCTAACATCACCCGCGGGTTCCCGATCTCCGATCACCGCTTCAACCAAACAACTTACAGAAACGAATCGTTTTTGGTCCAATTGCTCCCTAACGTCACCTGGGACCAGATCAAGGTTCTCTCCGTCTGGGACGTCACCACCTTCTCGGACTTTGGCCACGTTACCCTCCCCATGAACAGGTCGGATTCAGATCCAAGCCGGGTATATACAATGTTCGATAACTGCAAGAACTTGTCGGGTAATTATAGGGTTCGGTGGAGTTTGAATGTGGAGGAAAATTGGATCGAGATCGGGTTAGAAGCGGCAACGAAGACGATGAATTACATGGCTTTTGGGTGGGCAAATCCGAATTCAACCAAGGAGCTGATGTTAGGAGCCGACGTCTCGGTGACGGCTTTTACTGAGGAAGGTAGGCCCTTTGTTGATGATTTTTACATTACAAGTTATAGTGAATGCATGTTGCATGGTAAAGATGGTTCAGCTATAGGAGTTTGTCCTGATGTAGTTTATGAGAACTCCACGAATGGAATGGAGTTGAATAATACTAGGTTGGTTTATGGACATAGGAGAGACGGGGTTTCCTTTGTTAGGTTTAGGAAGCCGTTGAAATCGGACGATGATAAATATGATTTGCTTGTGGATCCTGTGGAGGAAATGACAGTTATTTGGGCTTTAGGGTTGATGAAACCACCTGATTTTATCAGGCCATACTATTTGCCCCAAAATCATGGGGGTCCAAAGATGGTTGCATATGGACATTTGGTGCTTAATGTTTCAGAGAATGTGGATGATTGTTTTGGGCCACTGGATGCGGATGATAAGGAGGACCAAGATTTGATTATTGCCGATGCAAATGTGCCCCTAGTTGTTACAACAGGGGAGTCTTTGCATTATCCAAATCCACCGAATCCATCTAAGGTTTTGTATATTAATAAGAAGGAAGCTCCAGTTTTGAGAGTGGAAAGAGGGGTTCCAGTGAAGTTCTCGGTGCAGACAGGGCATGATGTTGCTTTGTATATTACTTCTGATTATATAGGGGGGAATGCAACATTGAGGAATGCAACCGAGACTATTTATTCTGGAGGGCCGGAAGCAGAAGGAGTTGTTGCAAGCCCTTACGAATTGGTTTGGGGTCCTGATAGGAATACCCCTGATCAAGTGTTTTATCAGTCATTATACCAACCGAAGATGGGGTGGAGAGTTGAAGTTGTTGATGGTGGTCTTTCTGATATGTATAACAATAGTGTGTTTCTAGACGATCAGCAAGTTACTTTCTTTTGGACATTATCGGAGGATTCAATATCTATTGCTGCCCGTGGTGTAAAGAAAAGCGGCTATCTTGCAATAGCTTTTGGTAGTGAAATGGTGAATAGCTATGCTTATGTGGGCTGGGTTGATGATATCGGTATAGGGCGTCTAAATACATATTGGATTGATGGAAAGGATGCCTCTAATGTGCATCAAACAAATGAGAACCTGACGCATGTCAGGTGCAAGTCAGAAAATGGCATCATTACTTTGGAATTCACACGTCCCTTTAAGCCATCATGCAGTAGTCATGATAAGAAGCCAGAGTGCAAGAACATTCTTGATCCAACAACTCCTCTTAGAGTAATTTGGGCAATGGGTGCCAAGTGGTCTGAGCATCTTAGTGAGAGAAATATGCATTCTGTCACGAGTCAAAGGCCCGTGCGTGTGATGCTTATGCGTGGTTCTTCTGAGGCTGAGCAAGATTTGCGACCGGTCTTAGCTGTACATGGATTTATGATGTTCGTTGCTTGGGGTATTCTATTTCCTGGCGGAATATTGGCTGCTAGATACCTTAAACATGTAAAAGGTGATGGATGGTACCGTTTTCATGTTTACCTACAGTATTCGGGATTATCCATTGTCCTACTTGCTGTTCTTTTTGCTGTTGCCGAACTTCATGGTTTCTTTGTTAGCTCATTACATGTCAAGTTTGGAATCGCTGCTATATTTTTGGCCTGTGTGCAACCAGTGAATGCATACCTCAGGCCTAAGAAACCTGATAATGGTGAGCATGCCTCCACAAAGAGGATTATTTGGGGGTATTTCCATGTAAATGTTGGCAGAGGTGCCATTGTTGTAGGAATTGCAGCTCTTTTCACTGGAATGAAGCATTTAGGAGAAAGATATAAAGGAGGAAATGTTCATGGACTTAGCTGGGCACTAATAATTTGGTTCTTGGTTGGTGCATTGATGGTCATATATTTGGAGTATCGTGAAAGACAGTGGAGGAGGGATCGACTTTTAGGAAGGGGCAATTGGGTCCTCGGCAACATTGAAGAAGAGGATTCTGTTGACCTTTTAAACCCAAAGCACTCCTCCACACATTCAAGTTCACAGAATTCTGGACTAATGGAAGTTCAGTTAGAGCCATTGAACAGATAAATTTAGTGATACATATATTTTTCTGTTTGAATATAAAAGTACAATTCTTCATCAGTTTCGGAAGTCTCCTACAGGCATCAAGTTTAGTAGAGCTGTTTCTTCTCTTGGGCGGCTTTCCCACCATATGAGAATTTTCTGCGACCGGCGCCTTGTGTGCAGATCAATTTGTCAGCATGTATTTTGTACACTTGATACTCCTTTTAGCATAGTGGAAGGTTTTATCAGTTTATGGAATCTCATTTCCGGAGTGAAAGGTACCTTTGTTTTTAGCATAGTGGAACGTCTAACTTAGACTATTGTTAACTTTTAAACGGAAAAGGACGAGTTTGTAACATAATGGATAGTCGAATAATTATTTTGTAACTTTTAATAGTAGATGGACTTAACAAAGCAATTCCCTATAATCAGATGATCATTTTATAAATTTTAATAGTCGATAGACTCAATAAAGCAATATCTTATAGTCAGAGGATCATTTGTATATTTACCCTAAAATTTGAGGGAAGGAAGATAGATTATTAATAATATTTAAAATATATGAGAATTTTAAATCTTTAGGGGATGATTTTAGTCATCCACCCCATTCGACTCACCCACGAATTTAATTTAATATTATTTAAATAATAATTAAGAATTTTAATTTTAATTAAATATCTTTAAAATATAATTTAAAAAAAATCATAATATCAAAATTAACTCTCATCGTTCATTAAAATGGTCATCTTGGCCCTTATTTTTTTTTTGAATGTTTTATCCCTCAATGTTTCATTTTAAAGTAAAAATGCCCATAACATTAAATCAAATAATTATATTGACTCTTATTCTTTTTTTAGTATTTTGACTCTCAATGTTTAATTTTATAATAAAAACCCATATTTTAGAGCATTAATTATTTGTTAACTAATGATTTTTATCCATAAAATGATTTTTTTGACTCAAAAGAAATAGTTGGGGGCCAAAATGCTCCCAAGAAAAGAATAAAGACCAAATTGACCATTTTAATAAATATTAAGCGTTAATTTTAACATTATACCATTTGAAAAATTAAAGACTATAACAAGATGCATAATTATTTGTTGATCGTTAATCTATTAAAGATTTTGTTCATAGGAAATAGTTTTATCAAAAATTAAAATACCATTTATACAAATAATAGGGGATAATTTTGTCATTATACCATGCCTATGTATATAATATTAAATAAAGCACCGAATTTTATCTCATTCTGAAAATACTAAACAAAAGCTACAAACTTGAGACTGGAAAATATAATTAAACACTTACACAGCAAACAGCAAATTTGAAAGAGTCCAAAAAAAAAAAAAGAAAACGAAAAGTTATTTACTTTCCCATATTACTTTATATTAGTCTTTAAATCCCCAAGCCATCTTCAATGCTCATCTCTACTCTAATGTATTTTTATCTCTACTCTAAAGATGAAACAGTAATTTATCTCCAGCGTTATCTCTACATTACTACTAAATCTATTTTATTCATAATATTTAATTATTATAATATTAATTTTAAAAATATAAAATAAAACATATATATTTCTAATAAATATCAAGATAAAAAACATAAATAAAACATTCATAAATAACAATGCAATAATACAAATAAAAAAAAAATTACATTTCATAATAATATTGTGAAAAAAACATGAGTTACATAATTATATATTTTAATTCTCGGAATTAGAATATTCATTCCACAAGTGTTCAATTAGTGCATTTCGTAGAGTAAAATGAGCAGTTGCATCTTTGTTTGTTGTAGTTTTTATGTTTCAAAAAATTAATATGTTTATTTATCTAATTTCAATGTATTTTTATCTATCTTGCAACTTAATCTAATTTAAAAAAATCAGAAAAAATATAAAAAATCAGAAAAAATACAAAAAAATACAAAAAATCAAAAAATTACAAAACAATTAATATTTATATATATATAATTTTAATGTATTTTTTTTATCTTGTAATTTAATTTATTTGAATTAAAAATAAAAAAAATACAAAACAATTAATATTTCGCTACTGTAGCGAGAGATGTGACGATGGGCAAGGAATTTTTTCTCTACAGTGGAGATATTCTCCAAATGTGGAGAAGCATTGGAGATGCCCTAACAGTCTCACTTTTTCTCTGTAGTGGGAAAAATGAGAGAATCTCATCTGATTTTCACACTAATACTTCTTTTAGCTCTTTACCCCCTTCATTTCCAAGCTAATGCTGCCCCTACTGGTAATCTTTTTCTTTTTTTCTAAATGATTTTAGATTCTATTCATCTTTTTGTTTGATGGATATTTTTCAAATTTAGATTTGCATCTTTATGCTTCCATTTTAGAATGCTACCTTTCTTTTCTGTGGTTATTTTGCTTTATTTCTTGTTCATGTTGGTTTAAATGATGTTATTTTTTAGTAAATCTTTGATCTATACTTTGCTCAAATAGGTTTCCTTTTTCGTTTTCTTAAAACCCTTTTTTGGGTTTGTTTATATATAGGTTCTAATATTTAAAATCAAATGTTAATGTGTTGTATGATTTGTATAGGGCCATTGATAAAGCACTTGTCTTCTTTACTTAAATGGACCAGGTCTTCCACCAAAACTCCCCAGTCAGGTAAAATTATGATTATCTTCTTATACTTCTGTTGTTTTTTTAATGGGGTCTCTGTTTTTGATTTTTACAGATGGCAATGTTCTTCAATTTGAGAATGGTTACTTAGTTGAGACTGTTGTTGAAGGCAATGAGATAGGAGTTGTTCCTTACAAGATTTGCGTCTCCGAGGACAGCGAACTATTTGCTGTTGATGAAGTTAATAGTAACATTGTTAAGATTACTCCGCCATTGTCTCAATGTATGTGTTCAATCCTTTTGAATATGAGAGTCTCTAGTTATTTTCAGCTGTTTATTTAGTGGATCAAATGGCAAATATCTAACGCTATGAATATGTGCTCTTTTTTGTTATGCAATTGTTGATCGTTGCAGATAGCCGGGGCAGATTGGTTGCTGGGTCATTTCAGGGTTACACAGGGCATGTGGATGGAAAGCCGAGTGATGCCCGTTTCAATCATCCCAAAGGTGTAACCATGGATGATAAGGGAAATGTATACGTTGCTGATACCATGAATCTTGCTATTAGAAAGATAGGAGATGCAGGTATAGACCGATAATGATAAAGAGTAGATTTAAAAGAAAAAAAAAATCTTGTTTATTAAGTTGAATTATCTTCATAAAATTTCTGTGCAGACTTTAAAATAACTTTAGCTATTGAAGCAACTCTAAGCATTGTTCATTGAAATCCTTGATTGTCAATTTACAGCATGGAGAAAAGATAACGGAGTTCAAAGTTGAGAGAACCCATTGTAGATTAGTTTCTAACGTAAAATGACGATTTGACTTGGAATTATTTGCAGGTGTCACAACTATTGCTGGAGGAAAGTCGAATGTTGCAGGATATAGGGATGGGCCTAGTGAGGATGCAAAGTTCTCGAATGATTTTGATGTGGTATATGTTCGACCGACCTGTTCCTTGTTAGTTATCGATAGAGGAAATGCTGCTCTTCGACAAATTTCACTTAACCAAGATGATTGTGATTATCAGTATAGTTCAGTTTCTCCCACAGGTTGTTCCCCTATTTGTTTGCTTTTGCAATGGTTTTGAAATGGAATATTGGTTGAATAGCATGCTCATCTGGAAAGAAGGATCAGATTAGTTAGGTTAAATATTTGAGAAATTAGTTTACCGATTTGTTGGACTTTTGTTAACTTTCTCGAGCAAAATAACACCTCATCTATTGTTTATTCTGTTCGATTAATGATATTGTCAAGATTGTCAAAACGGGGAACATTAGGAGTATCGTTGTCCATAATATTGGGCTGTTGATAGACTTACTATGTGAATACAGGCTTCTTGTCATCAGCCTTGTGATTATGCCATACAAGTTATCGTCATGTTAAATCTCAAATTTTTACTTTAGAATCATTGGTTGTTCAAGTTAATCTGAAAACCTTTTAACGAGAGGCTGTCATAAAGTTTTAGCATTATGGTTTTGCATCTGTAGTCTGGTTAGGTCAAATTACTTGCTAACTTTGAAAGCACGGTCCTTTTAGCAGATATCCTGATGGTTCTTGGTGCGGTCTTGGCCGGATATGCTACTTGCTTACTTAAGCAGGGATACGGACCTTCTTTCTTCCCGAGAATGGTATGGCTCTTCCTTTTTTGTTTCAAATGGTTTAAGGCTGACAGTTGTAGCAACCTTCGCAATCCTTTCAGTGACATTTTTATCCATTTCATCATTTTCTGCTAGTCAATAGTGTGTCCAAATACTATTTATGCTTTTGTGGCATTTGACATTGTTTTCATACGTTTGAATTAATCCGATCCATAAACTGTTATTGCAGCAACCTTCTGATAAAGAATTCAAAGAACAACCAAGCAAGGAGAAGCCAACACCGATTGTCGATAGCATGAAAGAGGAACCCGGGTGGCCATCTTTCGGTCAACTTGTCACAGACCTGTCTAAGCTTGGCCTTGAAGCAATGGCAAGAGTATTCCTCTATTTTGTCCCCTCTCGTTTCCGATCAAATGGCTCGAAGAAAAGTCTTACACCGATGAAGGATTCTCTTATAATGCCTGAAGATGAATTCCCTCCTCCGTTAGTTCAAAAGCAGACCACTCCAGCACCCGTTTCTGATACCCGACATACACATACAACTAATACAACTGACAGGTACTCCGAAATGAAGCCTCCGAAGATAAAATCGAGCAGTTTTAGGGATCCTTCTTTGTCTAGCAAGCACCGCTTCTCAAAACGACAAGAATACGCAGAATTCTATGGGCCAGGTGTGGCACCTCCTTTCAGTAGGTCTAAGACCCAGAAAGAAAGAACAAGACACCGCCAACGAGAGAAAACAGCCGAGGTGGCTTTTGGAACAGGCGGGACAGATAAAAAACCAGTCGAGACGAAGCCAGTTGATTATGATAACTCAAAGTTTGATCATTACAATATGAGGAGCAAGTATGGATCCAGTGTTTCATTCCGATTCTGAAGTAATCCAAACTTCGTATCCATCTTGCATGCGCGTCACCGAATTCACATTAAGCTAGTTTGTAACTGAATCATGTATGTATTAGCAGTAGTTTGTACCGTAGAGATCTACACATGAGAATGGCAATTTAGCATCGGTTTTTGTTCATTGCCAACTGCTGTAATGTATGCAAGGTTTGATATTACCTGCATATGACCGATCCGAACCGAACGAAGTCTTATGTCTAGTTGCTATGGATTTCCGAGGGAAACTGATCATTTGTAAGCATAGTGGTTAACAAACTTTCATTATTGCGGAGAACTCGTTTCTATCTTCTTCATGCAGAAAACCCTGGAGAATGAATTTGATCTTTCCCTTCATTTGTATTGAACGATACTGATCGTATCAATTATTTTAGGATAAATTGTAAGATTGATCACTTTCGTTTAATATTTGTATACTGTTCCTTACCAAAATCAAAAAACTTGATTTTTGATCATTTATCTTCTCATTTTATTTAGATTTGGTCATTGAGACGTTAGTTATCCTTAATTTGATGACATGACATATTAATGAAAAGGTTTAATTTTTATTTTAATCTATGAAATTTAGATAAAATAATAATCATGAGTATTTTTCATTTAACTTTCTGCTATGATGAAAGTGATAAGTTACCTTACTGCATCAGATATGATGAAAGAGGTAAGTTACCTTACTGCATCAGATGTCGATAACATGATAAAATTTGAGCCTCCTTTCTTCAATCTCCCCGAATACATCACTTTTTCTGGCTTGAAATTTCTTATTAAACTCCTTGCACCCACCAACTCCTCTTTGCAGGTGCCAAGTACGAACAGCTGAAGTATGTTTTAAGTGAGCCGACGAACTTGACCCGAGATAGTTGAAAATAGGGAAAAAGACCGAGCACAAACATATTCAAGGTTGAACATAAATCATATATATTACTCCCTCATCTTTGAAACCTTTTATAAAGTCAAGGTAACTTAGGTGCCCTTTTAAGTTATGTTTACTTTTGATGTTCGGTAGGGAAAAGTAAGGCATATAATAACAAGATTACCATTTTGGAAGCTATTCGTACAATTCCATTGAGTTCAATTTACCTTTCATGATAATCCATGGAAATGAACTTGAGCGTACATTGATGTCAGTTAAAGCAACACCACAAAGCTCATATGGAAAGGGCAAAAAGCAATGCACACTTGATACCAATGATCAAACCTTTTGGAAGAAAGAATTTTCTTTGCTTATGATCCTTTGCATTTCCAGCTTTCTTGTTCCCGGCTTCACCTCCTGGATTAGACGGTGCAGTGGTTCCAAATGCAGGAGACTTTCTGGCAGCTGCAGGCCTGCATCAAGGGTTCAAACAGTTAGATTGCACCGACGATCAAATAACGGGAACCAAGATTGACCACAGTTCATGCAAGCATTCTAATTGGCAGCATAGCTTAGAACCCTACCAATATTTCAATTTCTAGAACTAGCAAAATCAGACAAGATACAGTACAAGCGCCATGAACAGTTCATGCATTGTAGTAACAAGATATATGATTCCTTCGCCCCTCTCTATGCTAAAAGGCAAAATACAAACTAGCAGGAAAAATAAAGAGAAAACAGCTTTACCTGCTATTTGTTGAAATTAAACAATTAAAACATGGGAGGCTGAATATAATTCAACAATTTGGGCAGTTTTTGTTGAAAAATTATAAACGGATAAACACCAAATTGAGTCATTAAACTTTAGGGTATTTATAAGAATAGTCCTCAAGCTTCAACTATAAATACCCTATCCCATTTAGCTTCAAAATCATCTCAAAATCCCAAAAGTCATTTCTTTCTCCCAATACTAGAGAGCTTTCTTGTAAGTAGTGAGTGTTTTGTAAGCACCTGTAAATTTTCTTTCTTAGTAAAAGATCTGCAACAGTCCGGAGACGTAAGCAAATTGGCTGAACTCCGTTATCAATTTCGGGTATTATTTTTCCGCTTTTATTTTACATTCTCAGTTAGAGGGAAATTACTCGTTCTCGATTTTAACCCAACAACTGGTATCAGAGCTTTTGGTTGTGAATTTTGTCAATTTTTACGAGGTTACTATTTATTAATATTAACGTGAATGGTAAATTTCGTGAATAGTAAAAAATTTGTCGACGATACGAATTTGTCGACGGAGGTGTTCTAATACACGGTGGTTCGCAAGAATTGTCAGAAACGATCCAAACAAAGCCATATTCGAGTGGGAGCGATGGCTGCAGACGAATGGAAGGTGAAAATTGAAAAGTTCGATGGTGCATACTTTGGCTTTTGAAAGATGCAGATCGAAGATTTTCTGTAACACCCCCAACCCGTATCCGACCCGGATACGAGTCCGAAGTGTCACATTGACTTTTCAAACATTTATTCGTATAAAATAGTGAGTAATTTAAAAACTTTGATAACATTTAACTTATTCAAAACGTTTACAAAATATATATCAGAGTTCATACAATTTATGTCTTTAGACTACATGTCAACTACACTCTATATACAGTACCTATATTTCCTGATCTGATATTTGGTAAGGAAAACTGACCTGTCTTGCTCCGCATTACTCTTTACTCTTCTCGAAACCTACGTGTGAAACAATCACACGCTAAGTCGAAGACTTAGTGAGGCATAACAACTTATAATGCACTTTATAACATATATCGATACATGCATGTTCTGTTCTATCATGTTATATCAATTCCATGCATTCTTCGTATCATATAAAATCATATCAGATCAATTGCAGTAAATCCATACATACACATAATTCATCATTAACAGTTTATCATGTAATCACATACTTTTATGGTTAACCTTTTCAATCAAACACTATACACACACAACATCATATCATTTCTATAACATTTATCATACCACTAACATATATTTGTTCATATCTCTGGATTAGCCCATGTACATATGTGAGAACTATCGATATGTGAGTCTATAGAGGTTGTGCACTAATGCTGTCACCACAGCTCGTATAATTGCACCGAAGTGCCGCGTAGAATTACACCGTAGTGCCATATAATGATGTCCATAAGGACCACATAGAATTCCTTAAGAATCATATACATATACTAGGGATCAAGTATGTGTCTTTCAAGACTTCACACATGTTCCAAAGAATATACATATGTCCCGAAGGACCGCGTAGACCCTCGACTCTTGGCATGCCAACTATACCCCTAGCTCTCATGACACATAACATGGGCGTTATTATTTATTTCATTTCAAATATTCACATAAACTTGTAATTCACGTATCACATATCACGTATCACATAGCTTCTTTTCATATTATCACATAGTCACGTAGTTCACTTACACATAGATCATTTCCATATAATTCACATGTCACATATATCATGTTATCATATAATTTCTATCATTTCTCACCTAATCACATTTATTCATGTAAACATACTTATCATATCTTGTTCACATAAGATCATATACTTCATATAACATATAGAAACACATTCACGTAGCTTATAGTCATAGGTCTTATCTCATAACATATACTTGTTTTCACATATATATTTCATATCATTTCTTATACCCTCACATAATTCATTTAACATACATAACATATCATGTAACATTATAATAGAAATACATATAAGTCATATCACTTAGAGCACATATACTTATAGTCACATTGCTTATATCTTAATCTTATGCCTTCTCTTAGACATATATATATATATATTCACATGTTAAGGTAATCCACCATTTCATCACATAATTATGTATTCATATAACTCATTTCATTTCATATCTATCTATATATATATATTCTCAAGATTTATCCTAATATAAATCATATAACACTCTTATAATTCATATTCATATTCATCTATGTCAGACTTATAAACACATCTCACTTCTATTATTTCTTTATATATATATAATCTAATCTGTTTACTTAATTCAATTTCATATAACTCTTATAATCTTCTCATATAGCTTCATAAATTTCTATCATACAACCCCTGTGTTATAGTTTTATTTAAACATATGAATCTTTCCCATCTAGCTTATCTTATATGCTCATATTATCATTTATGTTCAAATCTCCTAGTTAGTGTACTATTCTCACATTATCCTATAGATCAATATTATCTAGCTTATTTCACTTATCATTTAATAATATAATTATATTTTACTATGATCACATAGTTTATATCTCATATAATTCATAACCTTTCTTATGTAATCACTTATACTTTATCACTTAACACATAAAAGAACAGATCAATCCATATAATCAAGCATACATACATGAATATTCAACTCATGCCTTTAATCATGCATTCATGTGTAACACTTAAGGAAATAGACTCATCGCAAGTCTTATTCCCATCGTACATCATATACTATTGAATATGCACTCACCTGGCCTCACTAGTCAATTCCAATCTCTTATCTTTCCCTTTATCGATCTTACTTGCCAAACGTTCCGGAATTGCTTTATGCGTAGAATCTACATAAATGTACATTTTGAGGCAATCATTAGATACCTACACCTTGTAATTGGATACTAGCAACTTAAACGAACTTATTAAACCAATATTCATATTTTTCCTTTAGGGGGAATCGGTTCCCTACTATGGGGGTATCGATTCCCTAATGACATTCTGGAAATGTTGTTCGTTTGAAGGGGTATCGGTTCCCCTTGAATGGGTACCGATTCCCCTTGCCCAGAAATCATATTTCAGCCCGAAAATTACTTCATTTTCTCTCAAACACTTCATATATCGTCCCCTTTTTCATTCTTAACTCTAGTACACATACTTAAACCAATCTATATTCATTTATTTCATCTTAAACCTCAAAATCCTATCTTCCATATGAGATTCAAAAATCATACCAAATTTTCAATGTGTTCTAATTCCAATTCTAACACTTCATACTTCTTAATTAGATTGATGACAAGTCAAATTCATCCATAAAACTTCAACAACCATACCATATCAAAATTTCATCTTAAAACTCATATTGCAAATTCCTTCATAATTCATTTATCTTATTGTTTAAATCCCATATAAGCTTTCCTTAAGCTTATTTAATACCCAAAGAATCAAAACTAAGCTTAAAACTCAAGAATTAACCAACTGAAATTAAACTTACCTTTGCCTTGCTCTCCCACGTATGAAGAAGAAGAAAGGAGAAGAGAACTCTGGATGTTTCTCATATTTCCCCACGTTTATATTACCTTTAAAAGGAATATAAAAATCTTTCTGGTCAAATGACCATTTAACCCTTAATTTCCTTTAATAATTAC